GTGTTCTCATTTGACACCGATCAAGGATGAGTTGATGTATGAGAGGTCCAAGCCTACCATATTGATTGGTCAGGACAATTGGCATCTCATAGTTACTCGTGAATTGGTTTCGGGAGGTAAGAACCTACCTGTAGCATCGCTCACCAAACTGGGGTGGGTTTTGCATGGTCACATATCGGGTGGCATTAAACCAATCAAGATTGTTAACCACATTTCCACCAAGAAGGAGGAAGATATGGATAAATTGATCAAGGATTATTTTAGTTTGGAATCTCTGGGAGTATCGGCTAGAAAGCCCGTGAACGACCCAGAAGAACGAGCTTTAAATATTTTGAACAAAACGGTACGTCGTATACCTAATAATAGGTACGAGACTGCTTTGTTATGGCGCACAGACAATGAGTGCTTGCCATCGAATAGGGCACAGGTTGAAAGTCGCCTGTTTAATATTGAGAAAAAGCTCGACAAAAATAGCGAGTTGAAAAAGGAATACGAGAAGCAAATTGAAAATCTTATCGTTAACGGTTACGCAGAGAAAGCGAACCATATTTCCATTTCCCCACGTACGTGGTACCTTCCCTCACTTCGCAGTGACTCACCCACAAAAGAAGAAAATAAGGATAGTTTTCGACGCCGCCGCAAGGACGGGCGGACGTTGTCTTAACGATGCGTTGTTGACCGGACCGGATTTATTGAAGTCGTTGTTCGGAGTTCTGCTACGATTCAGAGAAGGAAGCGTGGCAGTAATGGCAGACATTAAGGAAATGTTCCTGCAAGTGAAAATCCGGGAAGAAGACAGGGATAGCCTTCGATTCTTATGGCGGCACAATCGTGACGCGCCACCGGAAGAGTATAGAATGACGTCACTCATATTTGGAGCGGCATCATCACCATGCATCGCTATATATGTAAAGAATAGAAATGCGCAGGACAACGCACATATCTATCCAGAAGCAGCTTCCGCTACGGAGAGCAATTTTTATATGGATGATTACCTACAGGCATTTCCCGACGTGACGACGGCCGAAAGGATAGTAAACGATATGTATGAATTACATAAGCATGCTTCTTTCCAACTGAGGGGATGGGCTAGCAACCGACCCGAAGTTTTAAGTAATATGGAAAATAAATATAAGAGCGACAGTGCTTCGCTTGGAGATAAAGAGCACACAGAGCGCACGTTAGGTTTGATTTGGAATATCAAACGGGATATAATAAGTTTTTCCACAAGTCTTCGTAGCACACCGGAAGAGGTGATGGAGGGTTTACGACCGCCTACGAAGAGGGAGATAACTAGCGCTGTGATGTCAGTCTTCGATCCTTTGGGACTCGCATCACCCATAACGATTCAAGGGAAGTCGCTGATCCAGCAAGTATGGAGGACAGGCATCTCTTGGGATGAAGAAGTTTCACACGAGTTACACGTGTTATTTTGTAAATGGATATCGGAAGTGAAGAAATTAGGTCACTTAGAAGTACCTAGACCCGTTGCTGAAGGCATCGGCAAAGGAGAGTTACATACTTTCACGGATGCTAGTGAAAAAGCATACGCTGCCGCGGTGTATTACGTCACCACGGACGAGCAAGGAATAAGGCGGATTACGCTGATCGCCGCAAAGGCAAGAGTAGCGCCATTGAAACCAATTTCGATTCCAAGGCTTGAATTGCAAGCAGCTCTTATGGGCAGCAGACTGGCTGCTTCGGTTAGTGAAGAGAGCAAGTACGAGATGTCCGAGAGAGTGTTTTGGACAGACTCACGTACAGTGTTAGCGTGGATTAAGTCAGATCCTCGCGCTTTTAAACCATTCGTTGCTCATCGATTGGCTGAGATCGAAGATCACAGTAAGCCATGTGAATGGCGATGGGTTCCAACGTCACAAAACGTGGCAGACGACGCCACTAGAAATTTTCCTTCCACCTTCGATGTAAGTCATCGCTGGTTTCAAGGACCTGAATTCCTCAGGAAAAGTCCTGATTTATGGCCCAAACAAGTGGACACCATAAATAGCTTAGAAACAGGTGAAGAAAAATCGCCAAAGGGCGTAAATACGTTAAGAAAGCAAGAACCGTTAAGTCTACCCGACTACGGACGATTTAGCAGCTTTAAGAAATTCCTTGGAGCAACTACACGCACCTTACAAGCGGTAGAAAAATTCAAGAGTTTAAGAAAGTCGGTTAAAGGACCCGACGACGCAACCGAAAAGTCGGTTATGTGTTCCAACAACAAAGCTGCAAATAAAGAATTATTGAAAGCATGCGAAGAATGCTATGAGGGCATGAAAAACGAGTCATTTAAGAAATATATTAAATGGAAATTTATACCTCCGGGAGCACCGCACATGGGTGGCGCCTGGGAGAGGTTAGTAAGATCGATTAAAATTGCGTTGACCGCTACGCTTAAGGAGAAGAGCCCACGAGAGGAGGTTCTACATACGTTACTTTTAGAAGCAGAGCATACGGTAAATTCCAGACCTCTAGTAACATTCAGTATGGATAGTCCTGAAGAGGGTTTGACACCCAATCATTTTCTTCTGGGACGCTCATGTGGTGATCGACCACCTGGATTATTTTTAGAGCGACATCTGACGGGTCAACTCAATTGGAAAGCTGCACAGAGGTTAGCCGACCATTTTTGGACAAGATGTCTGAAAGAATACATGCCTACGTTAATACCTCGAACAGGTGATAACGGCAAGTTCATGGAACCTAAAGAAGGCGATATTGTTTTGATAATAGATCATTCGTTGCCACGAAATACGTGGCCAAAAGGTAAAATTAGTAGAACGTTACCGGGACCAGACGGTCACACCAGAGTGGTTGACGTCATTACTAGCACAGGTATCTTGAGGAGACCTACATCCAGAATAATAGTCCTGGTACCCGCGACGCCTCCCAAATGATGGTGCTAACGCACGGGGGGAGATTGTTGGCGACGCGCCTATAAAAATGTTTCAGTTTATTAAATCAACCGATGACGTTGCTATGAAAAAAGGGGCAGTCACGAGCAACGACGCTCTGATAAGAGAATGCTTAGTTAAATCTTTAAGAAATGTCGAATTAATGATATGAAGGTCTTGGGTTCGACTCCCAGGCCGGACTAGTTTGTTTGTTTTCCTAAGTAATATCGCTTAATAAATTCGTAAGGAATTTAAGATATAAATTATGTTACCGGATTTGTTCCCCGGTCGAGATAATCACTCTGTGCATAGGCAGAATTAATGGATATTAATTGCATAAATGTTGTTTTGTATAAGTTTGATACGTTTTGTACGAAAACAAATGCCTATTTGTTATGATTGATTAATGAGAACATTCATTTATATTGTTATCTGATTAAAGATAGTTTCATACAGTTCGAAAATTGTATAAAAGCATTTAATTTGCCTAATATGGTCAAAATTGGTGTATTTCATAATTTAATTTTTTCTGATAGCCGAGAGCCGTGCAAAAGTTAGTTGTTCAAATAGTGTGAGTTCATAGACGCACGCCAAGTCACACCCTTAGGAGGCCGAATATGTAAAATTTAAAATGTTTGTAATTCAGTGATTTATGTAAAAATTACTTGTAAAATATTCCAGGTTAATTGTACGTGCTAAAAAAGGTAAATTCTGTGTTATTTTCATGTGAAAATTCCTGTGTATAAGTGAAATAATGATAGTTTTGTATAAGAAATTTAAAAGTGTTTTAAATAGTGAAATAAATAGAAAAAATGTAAATTAAACTATTGTATTGGTTAGCTTATGTATAAATTCAAGTGAGAAACATTGTTTTAACTTTCTGTGTTAAATATTTAAGAAATTTCGATTTCGAACTTGGGAGTAAAATAGGCAGTTTTCGTTTAATAAATAAAAGGTTTTTTATGATATGAAGATATGATGTATATCATGGTGTAGATATTGTTTTGTACTACCTATATTGATAAATTGTATTTGTATATGATTTGAATAAATAAAGATATTGAGTGAAACGTGAGAGAGTAATAGTACAAATTCATGTAATTAAGTTGCGCAAGCGCGCAGATGGCGCGGCTCACTTTCGCGTATAGCTCTGGGGTAGCTTAGTGAACGGGTTTTATTGCAATTCGTTCGGGAATCCTTCGGGAATCCTTCGGGAAAGTACGAAAATCCTTCGGGAAAAGTGCAAAACCAGCAGTCAAGAAAGAAAAAGTATAGGGAAAAGTGATTACTCTCTCACGGAACGGTTTGAAGATAATTGCTGTTTCATTCCCAAGATCCTTTAAGTTATACAGTCCACATCGAAGAATTAAGGCGTCGGGACCGGGACGACTTCGGAAGACCCGTAATCCCCGTCTGAACCTACTTGCTGAAAAGGAAGAGGTTATCGCCCTAGTGTGTTACTCCGTTGCGGAGATCACATACGTTGTTCCCGAACCCAACGTAGGCGTGATAGGAGGCCGGATCGAGAGAAGCCTCGATTCCTGTTTCTTAGTACCCGATCCGCTAGGTCCTTTTCAATTGGTCCTTTTCAGGATCAAGAGGGACACCGACCTGGTCCTTTTCAATTGGTCCTTTGCGGCCGATTGAGAGGACGCCCGAACCTGAGTTCCTTTTCAATATCTTATACCTTGTTAAATATTACATTAAAAATGTGGAGTGTCATCATAAATAAAATTAGCCGTTTATTATTTTTTATTTGCGTTCTTTTTATTTTTTTATAATTGATAACTATTGACATAAATATATCATGATTTTTGACCCTATATTGATTGGCCGTAAATTAGTAATATTAGTATTTATTCTATGCCCTAAGTGACTATAAATGAGCGTAGTAACGTTCTCTAATTCAGTTGTTTTATAGATAAAAGTTATAACAAACTAGAGCTTAGTCATGAGTTACGTATTTTGCTCGCAATTAAGATTCTATGGAATATATGTATGTTGAGCTTACAGTTATTAGCTCGGTTCGGATATGTCTATTCATTTGCATTTAATTAACTAATTTTCAACATTGGTTTAATATGAGTGATTTTTATTATTTACCTATGTTGGTATAGACAAGATGGTCGGGTGGATAATGATAGTGCGCATGCGGAGGTGAGTGCGCGCGCAAATATGGCGGAGTAGCGCCAAAACGCGCTCCAGTTGACGCAGCGCCACCGCCCGCAGGCGAGCCTTCTTCTCCACCCAGCGCCACTGTACTGTAGCTATCGTTGCTTAGGTCTAAAATTAATTACACAAAGAACATTAGAACTATCATAATTTAAACTTAATTTGTCAACAATATTTCAGCAGTGGTTCGCATGCTTGGAACTATTTACTGGAAAGTTACGTGACTAATAAGATTCACATAAGTCACACATTTGTTATCATCTATGTTTCATATTTAATAATGTTATAAAAGAGAAATTATTAATAAATAACATATTATTACATATAAGTATGAGACAATATTTACGATAAATACATTACTACTTCTTACCATGATGGCTAAACGAATCTAAATCGATTTTTAGCTCATCTTTGTCAAGCAATCGATCGTGTCTTGGAGAACCACCACCCGAACTCTTCATGGATCTGAAGTATTGAGACCATCGAGTTCGACCAGCATCCTTTTTTAGCCGTTTTTCTTTCGCTCGTCTGTGAAGGATTTACACAACATAAATATTTTTTTTACATTCTTATAAAAGAAGTGTGAAAGTGAAGTGTGTACACAGTACGAGTAAGAGAAAGATATTAATGAAGAATCTATTATCCAATCCTACCCCACGAATCTGTGATCATCGATATATAAATCAATCAGCTGAATCTAGGGTGCAATGCTTTTAATGCTTCGATCCGCCACAGAATTTGCAAATTCGGTGAACTAACTGTGAAGTATACTATTAAATTTATATTTCTTTCGGTATTTTTACAGATTGCATTAATGGAATCTTCTACCCCAAGCAGCTAATATAAATTTAAGCTTATTTGTTTCTTATTTATTAACCCGTGGCCAACGCCGTCTTAGGCCATACCGGGCCCTTGGGGACACAAGAATTTGGGACCCTGTTGGAAAATAAAGAAAGTGAATGACAAAACATTTTTCTGCTATGATCTTACATTTATTACTGTTAATTAGTAAAAATCAAATAATATGTCATTAATGAGAGCTTCACGACTTTTTCTGCCACCAGGGCGATGCCATTTTACAATGAGGTATATTATTTGACAGATTTCATAGCGGGGACGATAATTTCATAGAAAAATGTAAACTTAATTGTTTCTTTCCTAAACTTTCTTCCAAAAAAAAATTCTATAACAACATGAATAAGTGTATTCTTGTCATTTATTACACTAAAATTTAGGCTTCACTTGTCTAAAAATAAGGCTCGTACCAGTTATTTGCAATAAAATCTAATATTAATTTGGGTTGAAAGTTATCATATTAAATAAATCTTTTGCCGTTAACTCTTTTGAAGTGTTATTTTTATTAAACAGTACGAAATGATATTTTTATCTCATAGATTATAAGTACATAGATTACCAAAAATTAAAAAAAAATTAGGCTATAAGAAGTATGGCGACTGTTCAGTCCTACAAAAACGTTTAAATGGCGGCCAAATGCGGAACTAGATATTTTCTACCTAAGAAATCTGTCAATGCCACTTTTTCTGGCTAACTTGGCAATAACTGCTCAGGGTTGCCAGAAAGTCACTAACGCCCTCATATACTCTATAAAAAAATTGTCGGTTTATATTTTACTAAAATAGAAAAAAGACTGTACAGCATAAGCGAATAAGAAAGGCGATGCCTTCCGTCACGGGTCCCTCATGACGATAGGGGCAGGGGCCCCGTGTGTCCTTATGGTAAAGACGGTAATGCCGTGGGCCTCTTTCCTTGCAGGGAGTATTTACTACAATCGCGAAGATTGGCAGCCGGATTCGCTATATGATTACTAGATACATCGCACCTTTGACGCTGCTTGCGTCATCGGTCTGGGTAATTTACGTCTGACCTAATCGAGATTATTATAACACAATATATCTGAAGGATATAAGAGGCCTAACCCGCGGTGGCGACTACCACTAACATTAATTAAGTCATATATCCATACATAATTATACTGGATGACCTTATTTACCGTCTGGAAAAAAATAAGGTGTAACATGTAAACGGAGTAGAAGCCTATGGCACTGAAATTTTGCAAAAAAAAAATTCAATTAAATAAATTTATCAATTAAAATCTATCGAAATTCAAATCATATCACTCCTACTTTACCAACGGTAACAAAACAGTAAATTTAGTAGACATCTTTGACCTTGTCACTTCACAGGGTCACAGGCTCAAGGGCAAAGGGCAAAGTAATTGTTAAAAAAAAACGTTTAATTCAAAATTTTTGTTATTATTTTTTTTTGTAAAATATCAGTGCCATAGGCTTCATCTATTCACGTGTAAGGCCCGCCCCATACATACGGAATTCCATTTCAGGGTTCCGTTTCAGAATTTCGATTTGGGATTCCGAACGCAACAAGTCCATATAAAACCAATGACCCGTCACCTTAGACCATTGAATGGTCTAAGCCTTACACACCTACGCCAGGTTTCCTTACAGAATTTTGCGGGTAAAACGGGATTCCGTGTGTGTGTGTGTGGGTGTGTGTATGTGTGTGTGTGTGTGTGTGTGTGTGTGTGTGTGTGTGTGTGTGTGTGTGTGTGTGTGTGTGTGTGTGTGTGTGATGTATGTGTGTGTGTATGTGTGCGTGTGCGTGTGCGTGTGCGTGTGCGTGTGCGTGTGCGTGTGCGTGTGCGTGTGCGTGTGCGTGTGCGTGTGCGTGTGCGTGTGCGTGTGCGTGTGCGTGTGCATGTGTTACCAGTGTCATCCAGCTTAATAAGAAAACATAATTGTTGACTATACTATTATAACTTAAATTAATCTTATGTCAAGTTTGAATTGTTGTAGAAATAAAGGCTATTTTTATTTATTTGTTTATGTATCTGAAGCTATTAGGTCTTTCTGAGAATACTCAAAGTCGTCTACTGTCGTGGTATACCCATAGGGAAAATGTATCGATTGATATTCTTACGCTGCCACTACACGGCCACAATAGAGTTATGTTTTATTAATTTTACATAATAAAATATAATTTAAGTGTGACTAAACTTTTCTATGTAGTAGTGTTATACTGAAAATCTAATATAAGGGTTGTATTTGGCTTGGCTCTACTGAAAAACCACACCCTAACACTGTATTAGCGTAAAATACATTGTTCTGTGCTGCCTCACAGGAGTGACGACAACTTGGGTTCCAAAAAAATTTACTATAATGATAACATTCAACTTTAGTTCGCAATGCTAGGGAAAGCATAATTGAATATATAACATTGGAATCATCATCATCATCATCATTATAGCCCTTCACAAGTCCACTGCTGAACATAGGCCTCCCCCAAGTAATGCCACAAAGCACGGTCCTGAGCCACCTGCATCCATCGACTTCCTGCATATCTTACCAGGTCGTCACTCCATTTAGTGGGGGGTCGCCCTACACTACGCCTACCGGTAACAGGCTGCCACTCGAGAACCTTTCTTCCCCATCGGTTATCGGTTCTTTGAGCTATATGGCCGGCCCATTGCCACTTCAGCTTACTAATCCCTTGGGCTATGTCGGTCAGTCTGGTTTTACTGCGGATATGCTCATTTCTGAGTTAATCACGCAGAGAAACTCCGAGCATAGCCCTCTCCATAGCTCGCTGGGCGACCTTGAGCGTCCTCATACGGCCAGCAGTGAAGGACCACGTCTCAGATCCGTAAGTCATCACTGACAACATGCACTGGTTATACACTTTAGTTTTCAGAGATTGAGGTATACCTGACGAGAAGATGTGTCGTAATTTCCCGAACGCTGCCCAGCCGAGTTGAATCCGTCGATTGACCTCTCGGTCGAAGTTGGACTTACGTAGTCGAACTATTTGTACCAGGTAAACGTACTCGTCAACAACTTCGAGCATAGTGCTCCCAACCACTACCGGCATAGGTGTGACATGGACATTAAACATGATCTTTGTTTTGTCCATGTTCATCTTAAGACCTATTCGTTGGGAGGCACTATTGAGGTCATTGAGCATAGTGCTTAAGTCCTCCAGCGATTCGGCCATAAGGACTATATCGTCGGCAAATCAAAGGTGAGTGATGTACTCGCCACTGATGTTAATACCGTATCCTTTCCAGTCCAGTAGCTTGAAAACGTCTTCCAGTGCAGCGGTGAAGAGTTTCGGGGAAATATCGTCACCCTGTCTTACACCTCTCTGCAGTTGGATAGGTTTCGAGCTCTGGTTCTGTACTCAGATAGCCATCGTAGCCCTACTGTACAAACACTTCAGCACTTTGATATACCGACAGTCAACTTGGCACCGCTGAAGGGACTGTAGCACCGCCCAAATTTCAACAGAATCAAAGGCTTTCTCATAGTCCACATACGCCAGGCAAAGTGGCAGATTGTACTCTTCGGTCTTCCGTACAATCTGCCTCAGGGTATGTATGTGGTTTATGGTACTGAAGCCTTTTCGGAAACCGGCTTGTTCAGCAGGCTGGAAGTCGTCGAGTATGTGTGCGAGACGATTCGTAATGACTCTCGAAAACAGCACGTAGACGCGAATCAGAAGGGAAATCGGTCTGTAGTTCTTCAAGAGAGCGTTGTCGCCTTTCTTAAAGAACAAGACCACCGCACTTATGCTAACTTTAAACCGAGAGAGTCCCTTACAGAAAAATTTTAAGAAAAAATATATTCAATATATCTCAACCAAATACGCAAATTATTATGTTCAATAACCATTTTTTAAAAAGTTGTCTTTCAGCTTGTCCGGGATAATCTTCGGAATATCTGAACCAATTGTGATGAAATTTTACGAATATATAGAGAATAATGCCAGAAAAATCCAGATTATATCACATCCGAAACTTAAATTTAAAAATAACGAGAAAAAAAAAACGAAAAATTGATAAAATAAGCGGTCATTGACTATGGTAAAGGCACCTATTTCCGCGGTATTTTTACTAAAACTCAAATGAAAATCGAAAATTAAGCATTTATATTTATCAAAACCATTATTTTTCTACTTTTTTAAATAGATAATAGGTTATTCCGATATACCTATTTGGTTCCTTATTCCGAGTGCACAAAACGCAAAGAAAAAAGGTTGGAGGAATGCATGCTGTTCAATATCCTTCAACCAAAATTATTATGCATAAATGTTTACAACTACGTACCTACGTTTGTGAAAGTTATTACATATAAAGGAAATAGGAACCTATGCGTTATTATAACAAATAGAAAGTGCCTAGGCAAATAGCAAGTTGCGAAAAACCGTGAACACTATATTTTGAGTGTGTATATGTTGTGGAAGAAGGTGCTCATGGAAACTTATCTCGGTATTAAAAAAATTCACGATTTTTGCATAATTTATTAATTACCTAACTATAAAATATTCGAAATATAACATAATACTTATTAAAAATTATATCACATTATGTATGCACTTAAATTTTCCTTCTATCTTTCCTATACAACGAATTAACAAAATACCTAAAATT